CCTGGAGGACCGTCAGCTCCGTCTAAACCTGGAAGTCCGTCTGGTCCTGGGTCACCCATTGGTCCCGGTGGACCAGGCGGGCCAGGTGGACCTGCTGGGCATGGTTTGCATGGTGGTGGTGTAATTGGAACACACGGCTCAAGATTTGGTTTGCCTGGCTTTCCTGGTGGTCCTTGCGCACCTGGTTTTCCAGGTTTTCCTGGACGTCCAGGTGGACCTTTTGGGCCAGGTTCACCACCAGTGCAACATTCATCACAGTTATAAGCCTGCCTGGCAGTACGATTTCTGGCAACGTCAAAACGTTTCAGAGCTCCTACTTCAGACCATATGTCTTTGGCGGAACCCTCAAAAATAAATTTTACCAAGCATAAGTGACTAGTCCTTTTTTTTTCTGATACTGGTAATTGTTTTTTACGATTATTATTAATGAAAATTTACTAAAGTTTACTTCTACTTATAATAAGTTTAATTTGCTATGGAAGAATATGATATCTTTAGAATACCTGGCAGTACTTGAGTTCGTTGTTCATCTGCCATTGCACTTGATTGACATAATTATGGATCATCGGCAGGGCAATGCATACAGACAGTACGGATACCACCGAGAAGGTGATCGCCGCGTAAGAGGCAAACTTATATGCCTTAATACGAGTTTCTTCCATTACGGGAATGAAACACTGACATGTTTCAACTAACGTTTGCTCCCTTTTATAGAATGCCTGCTGCTGCGCGCGTCCACTTTTGCGTTTCCTCAAATCAATATCAAATCACTTCTGGTCTGACAACTTTTGATTATCGGAAAGCAAGACATATTTTTTAGCCCACAAATTTTCTGCGCCTACTATATGATATTTTCAGTGATATAACTGTTCTTTTCCAATTTTCTGTTTTGTAACTGATTGATGTACATTACTGCCATATAGGACAAGTATCTTAAAAAACTTATTTTTTGCAGTAAATCCCACAGTTTTGTTTTTTGCTTTCTTCCTTCTCTTTTTTTTCTGCCATTCTTACAGTTCGTAAAATTTCTTGCTGTGTGAAAGAGTATTAGTCGGTAGTAAAAGAAGACAAAGTAAAACGATGAAAAGTTACGTTATGCGAATAAAGTGAAGAAAAGCTTGTTTTGAAAGTAAAAGTTTTTGTCTACGTACTTGTTGGTTAGTTTTCTTTTCTTTTTAAACAGTCAAAAAAAAGAAGTTTTTTGTTTCCTGTTTTGTCTGCGCAATTTTTAATGCCTAACGTGATCCGTAAGGCATGGTGACTAAAAAAAGTGTATATTATCACTTTTACCTGCAAATTTACCGCAGAAAGCTGAAAATTTTTATGGCTGAATAGGGTAAATATGGCGATTGATGGAAAACTTCCAGCAGCTTTACTGTGCTTCTGTGTGCAAATTGATGAAAGAATTTCATTGACTGCTTATTTAACCCAATATCAAGTCCATTGTCTTCTCTTGGCACTACTGTTGACTTTACATTTATCTCTAAGTAACTTTTTTTAATCTTGGCTTTTCTAATTGTAACTGTACGACAGTATCAGCTGGACAAAACAGAACTGCAACTGGGATAGCTCATCGTCACTGTTGATCGCTTCACTTGGGAATGTTTCCATAAAAAAAAAAGTTAAAAAAGAATGAAGCAATTCTTTTTGGTGCGATGATTAGTGGACGAAAAACTAAAAAGATTGGGCAGGTTATCGGTAGATTTTCTTCGCTTTTTTTTCGCTTTAACAGATTCATCAACTTTGATTTTGTTCCATTACCGACTGCGACTTGATAAGGTGACTGATTATTGAAAAAAATCCTTGAGTGAAATATGATGTTGCATTTTTTCTTTCAATGTATCACTGGTTTTTCTTTAAATCGAATTTCATCTGTATACAATAGCATAGTAAAAAATGGAAAGAAGTAGTAGCTAAACGAGGGGAAAAAAGCAAATTTAGAAATTAATTAAGGAGTAAAAAAACTGAAAGTTTTATTTTTTTATAAATTTTTTTGTTTCTACCGCTGTTATTGCTGTCATCATTATTGTATAACGTTTAAAGTTATTTGTTAATTGATCAGTGGTTGTGGGAAAACAAATATTGAAGAAATTTTACAACATCATTAGAATTTTTTAATGTTTTTTTATTCCTCTTCTCCTTCTCCTTCTGTTTTTTTATTCTTTTTTCTTCTTTTGTTTATTCAATATGTTTTTCTGTAGCACACTGTTGAGAATGCAGCGAAAAATCTGATTAGGAATAAATAACTGTTCTTTTTTTTCTTGTGAAGTGATGACTTAATATTTAATTAAGAACAGAATAAAAAAAGGGATGAAAAAGGCAGAAGATGAAGAAAAGAAACATTGAAAATAATAAAAAGGAGTGAATGAATCTCAGTTTATGCACCTTCACAAATACATTTTTGTTTTGGTTGTTGGCTTGGTACAGTGTTGTTTTCAATTCTTTTGAATTCTTTTTCTTTGCCTAGCTTGAACGCAACAGTTCAAGGAACGGCTAGTTTTGGTATTCGGATTATCACACTGTTACTGACCTTGGTAAATGTGTTGCTGTTTGATGCAACTTGTTGTTTAGTGATCTAGAAAAAAAATGAATAGGCATTAAAAGAGGTGGAAAAAATAGATGTTTAAAGGAAGAATAAGATGGGAGACAAAAAATAGTGGTATTTTGAAGTCTTAATTGAAAACAGTTACAGAGTAAAAATTTGGAGGTAGATTGTAGGGTAGAAATGCCGGAACGGCTGGGGAGGAAAGGAGAGTATGAGATTTTAGAAAAACGGCGTAGAGTCTAAATGGGATAGTTGTCTTGTTATTCACTGGTCGTAAACATTATACATACTTCTTCAATGACTTTTACCTCACCTAATTTATTTTGATATGTTGGTGACAGTAAATCAAAAAATAAAGATTTTTTCATGTATTATTTTTTTTATTGTACACATATAAATTTGTAGTAAATTTATTTTATTTACTTTTTATTTTATTCTTGTAAAATGACTAAATTCTTCTCTCTTTTATTTTTTTCTTTTTTGTCTTAAGTCTCATTTTTCAATTTATCAGTATGAAAGCAATAACTGTTACATCAGTTGCATTTGTATTTTTGTTGTTAATTTTTATCAGTTATTGTTCACTGCGATTAAAAAAGATTTATTGTAACTGTTGAAGTAATTTGGGTTTTGCTGGGTTATTGTCAGTTGAACAGCAATTTCAGTGGGCACTGATCACAGTAATCAAATTTTGTACTCATCGATGACAATAACGACAGCAGTAGTCAGCCAGTGCAACAATCTGATAAAGTGACATAGCAGTAGTAATGAGAACAGTAATAACAGTAATAATAATAAGCAGTTTTTTCTTTTTTTTGCGACGTTCTTCTTTATCGGTATTTTTCTCTTTTTTTTTTTCGTTTTTTTTTTCTTTATGCTTTTAATTGCAATAATTATTTCTAAAAAGAATTCAATAAATGTAAGTAGAATGGGACGGAAAACAAGGGGAAGAGGAAAGGCAGCAAGAGGGGGGGAAGGAAAAAAAACGGATGAAAAAAAAAAGCAGAAAAACTGATACAGTGATTTTATAACACTGTGTAAAGTGGGGCAAGAAAAAAAGACGAAAAAAAGAGAAAAGAAAAACGAAATTTTTAAGACTCACTAACTTGTTCTTCATTACTTCCAAAAAAATTTTCTTCTTCTCCTTCTTTTTTTCCACCCCTTTATTCCTGTTTTCAATTCTTTTCACTTTTTTTTTCTCATTTTTAGTTAGGTATTTTTTTCGAATGATAAATGTTTTCTTGCTTATTTTGTCTACTTTTTTTTTTCCTGCGACTGCTGCTAACATTTTCATTTCTGACTGCTTTTTACTATTGTTTTAGTTATCTGCAAAAGATAACCAATAAATTGTCTGAGAGCAGTAGTAATTACTACGGTCGTTGTTTAATTCAGCATATATTTTTCATAAATAAATTTTTTTAATCTTTTTTTTTTGCTCTAATAAATTTAGCGGCTTTTTGAATAAAGCAACAATTGATGGTAAAGCTGTTATATATTAACAAATTAATAAATTAATAACCGCAACAATAACGCCGACGACGACAACAGGAGAAATAAAATAAAACGAAATAGAATAAAAAATAAAATAAAATAAAGGAGAAGAAAAAAAATTCAAGAGAAGGTTAGAAAAAGTGAAAAAAAATGAAATAAAATAATCATTTCAAAGGTGTAATTGCAAGGAAGGGGCAAAAAACTTTTTTTTTTTTTTTTTTT